TTAAACATCTAGCAGTTAAATGCTTAAAAATAAATAAAAACATAACTGTAATTACTATTTCTTATTTCAAATGTTTAATACGTGAAAAAGTATTCATTTGACATTGTGGGTTACCTACAATGCGAAGACATGGCGCTGCCTTGCAGCTTAAGGCTAGGAAAATTTCGACGCGGCGAATAGGGCCGTGGTAGCATAATGTTCAGTGCATTCGCCCGGATTGCGAAGGGTGCGGGTTCGAGTCCCGTCCGCTGCCTGGTCCGCGTGGATTTTTTTCTAGTAAACTTTTCTTTAGATTTAAACATCTAGCAGTTAAATGCTAAAAAATAAATAAAAACATAACTAATGAATTGATTTAAATACATAAAATACAATTTTACTCATTCTTTGCTCCCATATATTTCTTTTTTCGATAACTTGTTTCACTGAAACTAGTAGCCCTCAAAAATGACAAAAACAAATATTTTTTTATCACCACTGAAGACGTATAGTGTGAAGATTTAATAAGAATTTACAAAAAAAACGACGTGTTGCACTCCGGGAGTGCCAGCAGAAGTGAAACTTGAATATTAACGTTGTGCATTTTTGATGTTTTGGAATGGTTAGGGAATAATTTTGCACGAATTGCTTTAATTATCACCATACAACTACTGTCATGCATGTGGTAGAATAAAATATTTATTTATTATGCTATCGTACACAAACATGACAATTTATATTACATTAAAAAAGTTTATCTCTCAGAAAAATCAACTTACACGAATCACGTTTAAGCACACTTAGCAACATCTATTGTAAAGAAATGAACTTACATGAATCACATTTAAGCGCACCTAGCGACATCTATTGTAAAAAAAATGCATTTTGCTTCGCAAGAAAGCTGCCACGTGGACGTCCTAGATAGAGACATATTATTATAATACGATAAAATAAAATATTACACTGTTTCGTCCAATATATTGAAAGTCAACAACCTTTCCAATTTTATCGTGTGTCATGCGATCAGCCCACGTGTTTAACCTGAAGCGAGTTTAACATTTCTTACCCATACAAAAAAAGTGTACAACGCCGCTAAAGAAGTTTTCACTTCAAAAAAAACATAGATGCATAGTATAACTACTTATTATTCTATGGGACAAAATCTTTTACATATGTTGAATTTTCGTAGAGGAAATCGAATCGTCGAGAGCCAAACCTCGAATTTTGCAATTGTTATACGCATTTTTCAGCGTTAACTACCGTTGTTTCTATCGCACGGTATTTGCCAATGCGTGACGCCAATAGTTTTTTCCAAAGCAATAGTTTTTCCAAAATGTACCTATTTCTCAAATGGCTCTCAGCCGGCGTCCGCTCTTAAGCGAGTCGAATAAGAACCATCGGATTTGGTATAGGTTGAGAATTGTTATTGCATATTACAATGAATTTATTTTCATTCGGCCATTTTTTTAGACCTGCGTTGCCATTTCTATCAATAAGATAAGTTGATTATCTTTTATAAACCTAATAAAAAAAAAACCATCGTTTTATCACGCGGACACTATCAAAAACACTTTTTGTAATACCAAGTAAAAAGTTAGCAAATAATAAGTTTTATGATAAAGCGCACACTATCCTAAACACCGTTATAATACTTGTAATGGTTTTCATTGTCAATAATAAAAAAAAGAATATCATCTCGACGATTTACGCGAAGTAATTCGTATCTCCAGCCGAGCTTTGGCTTCGCAGTCACAAGGTGCAGTCGTGACTAGGGTTACCATATCTCAGGATTTGTCCTGAGATATTAGGATTTTTGAATTCTTCTCAGGATTGCGGCTGGATTTTGCAAATCTCATGAAATCTCATGATTTTTTGAATTTTCAACAAAATACAGCTTACTATAAAAAAGTTAAACTAAAAATAATCTTCTATTGGTAATAATTGCACAATTAAAATCAGTACTTTATTATCCAAGTACTTAATCAGTTTTATCATACTTAATATGTGAAGATACATTTTTAAGTAAGGTTTTTTCTTTAATTATGGATTCATATAATGCCCCATAGGTTAAGCTCTTCAAATTATATTGATTTAAAAGTGTAAGTATAGTATAAACGATAATATTACGACTTTTTTTAAATTGTTAAGTACTTTTGAGAGAAAATTCTCAAACTGTAAAAAATCTCAGGATTTTTCAATGGAAATCAAGCCTTTTCTCCGGACTTTTGATTTTATCATCTGGTAACCCTAGTCGTGACTAGGTGCGGTTTTTGTCGTCCGAAACATCGTCCAAGTGATCGTCGCGTCGTATCGAGTCTCGTTGTAGCTAACCAACAAAATAACTTTCCTGAATCTTCTCAAATCATCATCTTGAATTCATTTATTTCGAATCAGATTTTTGTATTATTTGTATGAAAAAAAAACTACTTGATGTTTAAAGAAAATTATACTAGAAAAAAAACCACGCGGACCAGACGTCCCGTTCGCTGTCTGGTTTTTTTCTAGTATAATTTTCTTTAGATTTAAAACTAATTTGTTTTGAATTTATAAATTACTCTAAAGGTATGGACTATGGAAAAATATTGATAAACTCGTCGTTATGTGAATAAGTAAGTACCTACTTACAGAAATCTTACGTCTCATTTATTTTTTCATGTTTGAACAATGTAATGTCATTGTTTTGAGAGTAACTATTTAAAAATTTCTGTATTCGGAACGAGAAAAATATGGGAACTTAAAATGAAGATGACGGTAACAGTTGATTATTATCATCAATATCTTCAAAGAGGTAAATTAAAATTCCAAATTACTACGATCTAAAAATATTTATTATAACTTAAGGTTCTTTTTAATGTTTTTTACATGCAGTCACCAAATAATTATGTAGGTATAATACCACGGCGCAGCTAAAACATCCCTGAACGGATGATAGAGAAAAAAACTTAAAAAGAAAAGTTATTACTTTTTAACACTGCAAGACCCCGAGCACACACTGCAAGACCAACAGATACTATTAGTTCTTTTTGTTTGCATAATTTAACATAAGAAGGAGATAGAAAGCCTCTCTTGAGTTTGTTTCGCCGGTTCTTCTCAGAAAGGTCTCCCAATTTTGGCACCGGTGGTAGTTTACGGTAGTTAGGGTTAAATAAATAAACTCAAAATTACATAAAAGAATTTTAAATAAAATACTTTATTAACTAAATTAAGTAATAAATTCATACATAGACAATAAAATTTTAAAAAATGAACAATGAAATAACCGAACGCTCAATAAAAGTCTTTCGAAGGTAGCTCGACAAAATTAAATAAAAATTTGATTCTGACGACGTAGCCTGTAAAGGCTACGAAACATTAACCCGTAAAAAACTAGTTTTATTTAATAGTTACCTTCTCTTTTTACTGGTGAATATTGATACTACAGTTTCAAGTCGTCAAAGATCGCCTAAACGTAGCATCACAATTGTGTAATCCCGTTTCCGAATCCACTGACATCGGCTGAATAGCCAACAGCGTCCGATACAGCTGGAGCTATTGTGCTCTTCTCTTATTTTTACACAAACGCGTATCCAGATATTGGTAACGACATGATTGGTTAATCGATATTACGTAACGAACGCGTGTATTGTTGCATGTATTTAGCTGTATGCTTTTTGGAGTTTACTCCTTAAGAATCGATTTGCATATATGTATAAGGGGCCCGGTATGAGAAAAATGTGAGGAGTAATCTATCCATGAATGACCTCGTTACGTTTTTGGTGCGCATCCTATGTCGTGCAACTTTGACAAACAAAGATGACGGATTGACATTAATAACCACAAACCACTTGTCACTGTAATTAATAATGCAGACAATGTTGATTTAATTAATATTTAAAAAAATGCTAATAGTCTGATAATAATAATTACATAATTTATCAACATTCCTAATGATATATTTATGCACATCTGAAATTGACTATTGTAAAAAGTTTAATGTAAAATATTTCGTCGATTAGTTATAATAAATGTATATGAAATGAATAAATATATTATAATATATTGTTTTAAACTTTCATGGTCACTAACACTATAAATATATTATATTTCTATATGTATATTATTTTCATTAATTTGTTAATTTACCCTTTCATACAGTTTGCTAAAGAGCTGCGCAGGTGGATAGTGCGTTCGGCTGCGATCGTTGAAGTTAAGCAACTTTCGCAGTGGTCGGTCATTGGAAGGGTGATCAAAAATCTTCTATCTCGAGTTCCTCCGTGCTTCGGAAGGCACGTTAAGCCGTTAGTCCCGGCTGCATCAGCAGTCGTTAGAACGCGCCAAACCACACTGGGATTGCGTGGTGGGTCTAGGTCCAATCTCCCTATTCCATCCATAGGGAAGGCCTGTGCCCCAGCAGTAGGGACATTCATAGGCTGATGATGATGAAACATTTGCTCGCTCGGTAAATGGAAACATCAGAGTGAGCGAACGAGTTCGTACACACAATGACGTTTTACTAAACTCAGGGAACGAATGCTCTGGTGCTCAGTTTTGAGCATTCGTTTTGAGAATTGGCAACACTATTTTTTTAAACACTCACCAATTGGCCCAGGACCCAAAGTAAGCACTGTAGACTAGAGTTATAGGATACAAGGGTATATGGGATAGAATACATATATAAGTATGTCTATATAGAAATATATACTAAACATCCATGACTGGAGTACAATTGCTCGTATTGACGACCTCCGTGGTCGAGTGGTTTGTAACCCGGGTTTCATGGTGTCGCCGACTCGAGAGGTCCCGTGTTCGAATCCCGGTGCGTACAGATGTTTGTGTGATGAATACGAGCATTTGTACTACAGTCATGTATGTTTAATATGTAGTTCTATATAAATATACTTATATATGTACTGTATACGTATTCTATCCGTTACCCTAGTATCCCATAACACAAGCCTTACAGCGCTTACTTTGGGGCTAGGCTAATTGGTGTGATTGTTGGAAATATTTATTATTATTATAATTCATCACACAAACATCTGCCCTCACCAGGATTCGAACTCAGGACCTCTCGGGTAGGCGACACCTTGGAACCCGGCGTACATACCACTCGGCCACGGAGGTCGTCAATTCATGTCGTTGCATCATTGCGGTTGGGATGTTTGCCACACTACACAAAACCACACCTTGCCAACTCGAAACCAATTCGTCTACCCCTTTCAAGATTTAAGATTACCGACAACGTAGTTGTTTGTCATAAAGGTGCAGAGTATTATTGCAACAATATTATTTATATGATGCAGTAAACAAATTTACAACGTATAAATGGCGGGTAGCCGGTCGCCGGCGGAAGGCCTTCGCCCGTGTTTTGGGTCCTCGAACGAAGTCGATCATATGATAAGACGATGTCAGTGCTGTTAGAAATTGAGACTGACTTTCAATACCTTCAAATTGCACAGTTAAAGCCACTTTCTGTCATACTTATAATCATCATTTTTGTGGTTTTAGTTTTCAAGAAGGCGTTACAATGTTGAGTGTGCTTGTTTAAAAAAAACGCGTTTGCTAACTTCCTGCACATAGTAAAAGTTTACAGGGACAGGGCTCTTCCTACGGGTAGATTAGAGATCGGACCACTATTGAGATTGGAGTTATAAACGACAAAAAATCCAGTTGGTATCACTGACTTAACGTGCCTTCTGAAGCACGAAGGAGATCGAGATAATAGGTAAGACTTTGGACATCTATTCTATGACCGAACATGTCGTTATTATATACTTTTAGAATTCCAAACAGACTATCCCCCAAGCGATGATTTTACCATATAGATAATATTTTTTGGCGCTTCCGTGTAGTTATTAACAGTCAAACACAGTATTCGGTATCTAGGCGTGTGAATAATCATTTATTCAGTTTAGGCTATTACAAGCACTCATGAATGTCTAGAGGCTACGACATCGGTTCGTAAATCTACGGCGGGAGACCTTGCACTGAAAAGAACCGTCAAGAAACTCAGCGAGGGCTGTTTTTTTCTCCCTGTTTTATTATCAACAGAGTCGTCAATTTGAAAACTGACTACAGAGATGATTCGTGAAGTCACCTTTCATTATTCAAAGAGTGATCGCTTGACATTGACAAAATGGACGCCAACTTATGTTGTGGAACCGCTCAATCTGCAGGTATCAACAAAAGGTAAACAACCGCGCGAGGTTGTATCGAGTCACAAGTCTAAAAACTGAACACGACACCTACCAAATTGTCTCCGGCGTGACAATAGGAGATTGGTTCAGAATTAGCGAATGACAAAGTGGTGGCACAAAAAACAGTTGTTGTTCCAGTGTGCTGCCTTTTGTTCGCGTAACTCGGGCCAAGCGTCCAAAATAGATCGTAACCACGGAGCAAAACCGACACGGTGCAGTTAACAAGTGGCCCACGTTTGACTTGGCCCGCGCTGATTGATTGGCGACGCGTCTTGGCGTGCCAATGATTTTATAGACACTGAATGTATTCTCTGTATCTGTGATGCAGTCGGGACCAACGGCTTAAGCTAGAAACATATTAACGTGTCGTGTCGTGTCGTGGCGCGCCAGAAGCACATCGGTTTCATACATTTACTATGGTTAGAGACATATTTACGTATCGTGTCGTGTCGACGCTTTAACCTCTCTATCTCTCTCTAACCCATAATAAATGTATGAAACCGATGCGCCACGTCACGCCACGACACGTTAATATGTTTCTGGCTTTAACGTGCCTTCCGAATCACGGACGAACTCACGATAGAAGTTTTTTGGTCGTCCATCCAATGACCGACCACTGCGGAGATTGCTTAACTACCTGCGTGATCGAGGTCCTTGCGTTTTATACCCCTAATCAAGCAAGGCTTAAAAAAGTATTTCGCGAAAGACTGCGGCATAGCATTGCTGTGTCACTGGCATTGCTTAAGTCTATAGGCAACAGTGACCATTCAACATCAGGAGGTGGCCTCTCTGCTCGTCAACTTTTGAAGACAATAAATGAAGGCTCATATTTAGAGAATCCTTAAAAAAATACTAAATGCACACCAACAAAATGAATAAAATTGCAAAGCTATTGGCTAGGTTATGTTGGATGACTTGTTGACTGCATTCAGTAATTTTTTGAGGGATCATTGAAATATTTTCTTAAGAATCTCTCACCAATTCTGAATAGGTGTGGAGAAGGATTAGCCCTCCTTCAGTAGGGTCTTGGGCTACCTCCTTGGCCGGTATAAAAAGAGTGTTCCACGAAGGACGGCATAGCTTTGTATCTGATATTGCTAATGTCCCCAGCCGAAGGTGACGAATTAACATCAGGTGGTGTTTACGTCTACTTTCAAAGGCAATAAAAAAAATCACTCACCAGCTCTCAGCGCATCCATTGGTACGCTGGGGTAAGGTATGGAGTAGGGATAGCCCTCCTTCCTGAGGGTCTTGGGCTTCCTCCTCGGCCGGTACTTGTAGTCGGGGTGCTCCTTCATATGCATCGCCCGAAGTCTCTTCGCCTCGTCTATGAACGGTCTCTTCTCGTCTTCTGACAGTAGTTTCCACTCTGCACCTGAACCGAAGAGTTTATAAGTTTTATTAACAGGAACCTACATTCGTGACTTTTTTACTACTACGCGTAGTAGGTATTACATAATTTGTGCTATAACACTTTGGTTTTATGCAGGATCATATTTTAATAGTGAAGAAAAGTTAGAATTACGTTTTCGGGCTGGCTGAATTTTTAAAGCAAGAATTGTAATGTATTTCTGTAAAATCACTCCTCTACGTAATATGAAATGGAAATGAGGTTTATATAAAACATAAAATAAATTTAATTATTAATTTACTATATTATTAAACTAAAGAAATAGAATGATATGAAATTACTAATTATTTGAAATTATATGAAACGGTTCTTTTGTTGATTGTGGTTCACGAAACATCAACAAAGAAGTCACACAACAAATCACTATTCGCTCACATCACAACAGAAGACACTCGGCGTTCTATCATAAGTCATTATGACTACAGAAACAAAAACAGAAAAGTAATTTGCTCTAACCATCCCTCATTCCATAGACAATGGCATTGAATCGATACAATATAATCGAAGGCACGAACGACCTGTCTCCCAGCCCGATTCAAAAGACCAACCCTTTGTCTCCCTACATTTATAGAAGCCTGCGTTGATACCGTGGAGGGGCACCACCGTCCATTCAAACAGACAAGACAATACCGATTCAGGCGGGCATAAAAGCGAAAACAATGTCTCCAACATAGAAAGGAACAATCCGGCTCGGAGGACCATCCTCCGTCCCCTTCTCGCTCGCACAGATTACGCTAGAAACGAGAAAGACGACAACAACAATGGCGGAAGGCACCGCCTAATGACGAATTTGCGCTTTTCATTCCACAACAGAAGTTTTTCCCGGTTCCTCATTATTCTGTCGATACTTCGGGGAGGGTATTCTCGCTTTGTCGGGATGATAAGGATCTTGTACTTACTGACAAAGATAAGAATGTGCCGGAGGTGGTGAGAACGAGGTCCATTTATCGGAATGAAGTTCTTTCGCCATTTCCTTGCAACGATCGAAGATTCGTTCTCATTGCTATTATTATAACGAACCTGTTTAAGATGGAATGGATGGAATGAAAACCGAGCGAGTATTCATGCTCGCACTATTTCAGGTACAACGCGGAGCACTTAATTTAACTTATGAATGTCGTAGAGACCTTACCCTGCGAACCATATCTTCTCACTTTCAAACCATCATATCTGAAGCGCAGCAATTTGATTGCATATTAAGTGAATTTATTTTTATTACCTCTGCGTTAGCGCTGCTACGTTCATTTACCTATTAACATTCTTTCCATTTTGAGTCGATTTCCTTTCTGGATTTGTTTTAAGAGTCTTATTAATAATTGTTAGTTTTAAACTTATGTATTATCGTTGGCAGTTTTAGAACCCATACTAAGTACATTAAGTAGCAGACAAGATTTAGATGCGTCGGCAAACACGAGCTTAAAGCATTAACTAAATAAGCACACGTATTAGGGTAGCCGCGAACGTTTATCACGATATCGAGACAATACAAATGCCCTTGCGGTTTTGTCGATCAGTAATCGATCATCGCACTTAAGCCCTTTTAATTGTCATCCAATGTTTAAAGACTATGCCCCATACATTGAATGCCCCAGAACGCACAGCAATGAGAAAATGCTAGTTGTTGTTGCTATGTAAAACTCAAAGGTGACTGACTGACATAGTGATCTATCAACGCACGGATCGGGCTGAAATTTGGCATGCAGGTAGATGTTATGACGTAGGCATCCGCTAAGCAAGGATTTTGATCAATTGGGTAGAATTGATCAAAATCCTTGCTTGCCAAGGGGATAAAATAGGGAATGAAACTTTCTATGAAACTTTGTCAATTTTAAACCGATCGGGCTGAGACTTTGCATGCAGGTAGGTATAAGAAGAATCATAGATGAATGTCATTGTGTATAATACAAGCCTGAGAACAAAAACTGTAGTCTACACTTCAGCTCTACACCGAAGCGAAGCGAGGGCGGGCCGCTAGTGATTCATAAACTCTCATTGGGCATTTGTTGAAATGCGGAATTGAGAAACCATAGCCTACTACAGAATGTATAATTTTTTTAGGTTATAATTATTATACTTAATCGTAAACGATGTACACTTTATATCTTCTGAATAGATTTATTGTTTACCTCTATGCAAGCACTTAAATAATATGAATTAAATAAACATAAAATGCAATTCATAATAAAAATAATAAATGCCTGTATTCATATTGATTTTAATGTTGGCAGTTGGCACCTATGATACTTATATGTTTAACAAATAGATTTCTTTACAAATGATATGTTCAAAGGCTTTCCTGTGTCTAAATTTCATTATTGGTAATAAGGTATATTCCTGGTTATCATAATAATTTTCATAAAAATAAACAGATATTACATGGGATAGGAGAACAAAAACTATCTTTACATAATTTCAGAAATTATCTATCTATAAATATAATATAAATACTAGTGATAAGTATTATGATTAACTAAGGAGGGTAGGAACGTATCTCTTCTTATGTTGATAAATACCTATGGTCGCATGTATTGCATTTATTAAGGCTATCTATTCAAAATGGAATAGAAATAATAAAAAAAAAAACACTTTTATTCGATATAAGTTTTTGAACCTCATTGGCGGAAGCTTTTGAATTTAGATAAGACAGTCTCTTCAGGCTCTAAAGATAACATGACAGCAAATTGTGTAGTACCTAGTAACAGAACTTTTATTTTTAATTTTTTGAAGTGAAAACTTCTTTAGCGGCGTTGTACACTTTTTTTTGTATGGGAAAAAATGTTAAAATGCGTCAGGTTAAACACGTGGGCTGATCGCATCATGACACACAATAAAATTGGAAAGGTTATTGACTTTCAATATATTGAAAGAAACATAGTAATATATAATTTAACGATTATAATAATAAGTCTCTATCTAGGACGTCCACGTGGCAGCGAAGAAAATGCATTTTTTTTACAAAAGATGTCGCTAGGTGCGCTTAAATGTGATTCATGTAAGTTGATTTCTTTACAATAGATGTCGCTAAGTGCGCTTAAACGTGATTCATGTAAGTTGATTTTTCTGAGAGATAAACTTTTTTAATGTAATATAAATTGTCACGTTTGTGTACGATAGCCCAATAAATAAATATTGTATTCTACCACATACATGATAGTACTTTTATACTGATAATTAAAAGCAATTCGTGCAAAATTATTCCCTAACCATTCCAAAATATCAAAAATGCACAACGTTAATATTCAAGTTTTTACTTCTGCCGGTGCCAGCACTCTCGGAGTGCAACCCGTCGTTTTACAACAAAATGTACGCTTACTATGATTTAATGCTAATAAAGTAGAAAAAATTGTGGCTGATTTCGTCGATGCCCTTTGTCAGTTGATCTCATTATAATATCATACTATTTAACATTTACTTACTATTCGTTTATTCACTAAAGTTACTCAATGCCGTGCGTGTTTAACATCAAAATAACACTTTAAAACAAACAACTTAACTACAATGAGGTGTAGACAAAAGATGTGCTAATCTTGCTGCTTTCAAATGAAGCATGGAGTATTGGACAGCAGTTGTCAAAGCCCTGATGCGTTGATGTCTTTGTGACTATTTAATTTTCTCTCAACTCGTTTAGAATAAGCTGGGGCGTGGTGAAAGTGTGGTACAATAGCGGAGTATTATACTGTAGGATACTAAACAAAACACGGTAACTACTAGTTGAATATATTTTTTAGGATAAGTATTAAATGTATTATTATAAGGCCCATCATCATCATCACAGACCTTCCTAATAGATGGAATAGGGAGATTGGGCCATGACCCACCACGCGGGCCCAGTGCGGATTGACGGGTGCTAACGACTGCAGATGCAGCCGGGACCAACGGCTTAACGTGCTTTCCGAAGCACGGAGGAACTCGAGATAGAAGATTTTTGGTCATCCATCCAATGATCCAACTTCAACGATCGCAGCCGAACGCGCTAACCACCTGCGTCATCGAGCTTCTTCTCCTTCTAAGGCCATATCGCACCAAAGTTCTTAATTCAAATTTAAAAGCTAATCGTGTTTAAACCTCGTTCTATTACCTATTTGACTTTAAACATTTGCCAAAGATGGAATTATGTGGTTAAGATTCAATTTGAATTAGGAATTTTGGTGATAACGGGCCTAAGTATAGTATCAACCTGCTTATTTTAATTTTTAGCTGCCAGCTGTCAGCTATCCTGTGGAAAAACCTTTTTAACGGACCGGAAGGCGTTTAAGGAAATGGATAAAAAAGACTGACCAATGATACCCTGTCCATGTTAATTGGACAGAAAATCTTAGGCACTATAGGAATTCCAAAAATTAAATTGTCTATGAGAATGATATTTTCACTGAAATACAGTAATTTTTCTCTCTCTCATTTTGCTCATCTTTCAAGATGGCAACCTCGCCAAAGGATATATGGCATTAAACTATGTGTTTATAAAGAATAAAGGAATAACATTCGTGTTATGAAAAAGATGAACTGTCGCTGGACACTTGGCACATGTACAACTTTGAAACTTACATAAACAGCGCCCGGCCGGGCAAAGGATACTAGCCAAGTCCGGCCAAAGAAAGTTTACCGGTCACGAAGATCTGTCATGGATGTCTGCCAGTCAACAGACAGCCATCACTCCAAATGAAAGTTTCACACCAATAAGAATAAATTCGCAGTAAAACGAACGAATGCACGCTGCAAGGATTATCCTGCAGTGACATTTAGATGGTACGCCATTGTTTTCGTCAGTGTTTTGTTTCTGTGTCACCTGCCGCGCGGACAACTGTCGCGAGACATTTTTCTGTAGCCATTGTTAGTAGGGGACAATGCGACGACTAATTGTGATGTAAATTTTTCGCCGACATTGGCATAAACAATACATTGTTCGATAGTACCGTGGCAAACAATGTAGAGCAGAATCATAAGACGGAACGCTTTGCATTAGATAGATAATTAAGTGTTTAATAACTCGTTTAATACACTTACGTAATTCTTATTAAAAAAATTGCGGGCCAGAAATTTGTAGAATTTGACCAACCGTTCAAATTACCAAACGTAACTGGCCCCGTCTTCATCTGTTTAACTTAACTTCAGAGCATCTTAACGTTTAAAACAAATAAAAAATCATAGGTAAAATTGTACTTCCAGGGCCCAAGAGGTGATACTTGTTTTCTTTTTGTAATAAAGGTCTCTTAAAATATTTTTTTTCTGGCGCTTCGCCATTCGCTGCCGCGGCACGCTCGCTTCGCTTGCTCGGCTCGCGCGTTATGGTCACAACACTAACCTAACCTAGTGTGAAGTATCACCACTTGGGCCCTGGAAGTACAGTTTAGCCAAATCATAGTCTTATCATATCAATGACGGATTTCCCTTAGTTACTTTTGTATATTGTTTTTCAGGGTCTAATTTATCTTCCTAACAACCATTCATCAATATTATTTCAGATACTTTTGTTGCCATTTATAACATTAGAAACGATATAAATTGGTTCTTCTCATATGAATAAAAAGAAAGCTTTTACTTATCCAGAAAATATTTAACACTTGCAAGTTCCCCCTCTCTTTCAAGCAAACAAAGTAAGTTTTTAATTAACACCGCCATTAGCAATTGAAATCAAAAGACACGTGTCGCCTCAATAAAGAGTTGCCACTCTACAATAATTATTTCCTGCGCTTCTGGGGACA